GTGCTAATCCGTTAAGAGACCAAAGTACAAGGACCATGGTTGGAAATAGGGGATTCAAATTGTTGCAATGGCATTGGATTCGTATGATGAGTACTTTCTCCTTGAAGGATCCCCGGACAAATGCAGCATCAATCGAGACCTCCGTGTCTACTCACCCTCTGTTGAAAAATTCATAGTTGTCGCATTGAATTATTGACACATTTCATTATGGAAATATTGGCTACTGTGTGCTAAAAAGAATTTCTACATGTATGTAAGAGGCAATAGATCTTAGCTCTGTCGTGAAGATAGAGAGCAGTCACACAGCTGCTGAAAAGCACCGACGTACTCGTAGATGTTACATCTGACGCAGACCAGCACCCTGAGTGCCTCCTTCTCTATTGACCAAGAGGCATGAAAGATCGTGCTCCCACCCAGCGCCAGACAACAATCACCTCACAAGGATCGTTCGATACACGATTCCATTTGATAATCGTATGGCTTGAACACCATGAAGAGTCGATCTAAAGTCAATAAGGTCAGATGCCACGAGCTTGAGCTCAGTGAGTTATTTGCTGGTCTCTTCAAAACAGAAGGTATAATTCTTGCGCAGGCATGAAGCTACGATAGCTTCGGCGATAACTTTAGAATTATCTGAAATTCTGATAAAGATATTGTTGCAAGCCTTAAGCTTATAAAGCGAATGCGGTCTTGAGTATGTTCATGGAGATGTGATCTTGTCGCGGGGTTCTAATTTTTTTTGCTGATTTTGAAGTTAGCGACGGTGTGCTACATTCTCCGAAGAATTCTGTTTATCTGGTGGGCTATTTGATCGCAAATGTCAGCGGAATTGAATGAGAGTGACTTAAACTTGTAACTTTGTGTTGCAGTCTCCAGGGTTTCATGCCGTAGCGACAAGTCAGAGCTTAGTGCTGTAATTTTTTAACAAGGGCCCGCGATGATTGGCGACTGTTAATTACATTTCGAAGTGCCAGGCCCGGAGGTTTATTTCCTTGTCACGATGTAACGGAACCGCTAAGTCAGCACTTCGATATGCCGACAGAACGGCAGAGAATGAAGTAAGCTACGTAGTTCCAGGAGTTCTAGGCCTTCTAGAATTACTCAGGGGGAAGCATTAATTGAACTTAAGGAGGTTTGTATAGCGATTGATCGCAAAGAGTTGTGAGACGGTTCACCGATTTTGAGCAGTCATTGACGCAGGAGGAGCCGAGCTCATCATTGTCATAAATAAGTTTGTTGTTGAGGACACTCTTAAGCACCGGGGTAAGGAGTCGAATAATTTGAGCCAAGCATACTTTGAACCCTTTTTGCTCCTTATGGTATGAATATCACGACGTATTAGTAAAAGATAAGAGTGACATCTAGGTTCTGGAATCAATAATATATTGTGTCACACGATAATGGCCCTTCACAAGATGAAAGGTGACGTCATAGACGCATTCTTTCTCATAAAGCGCAAAATAAATCTAGTAAAAACTGAATTTGTTTTAGTTGTCGACCCCGGCACCGTATTTTTGTATCGAAAAGGCTGACGACAGGATTGAAACTTTTCACGCTGCAAATAGCGACATTGACATACAATTGCGGTGTGCAAGCACCGATGTATAAAAGCAAGGTGCTGTCGGTTACGCTTTGTTTGGATATCTCGACCTCGTACATGAAATTATTGAAGTGATCATGAGAGAGAGCGATGCCCCTCTCGTTGTGGTGTGTTACCCAAGCGGAATATACTAATAGCGAATCGGGCGGCGCAGCTATTTAGGTCTTATCGTGTGACTTTTTTGAAAATATTTCTTAATAATTATATAGAGCAGGCGATGTCTGATATGAGCAACTACATCAACCATTTGCGTGCATCGCTTGATGCGCTTTGATAAGTTGTCTTCAAGGGAGATAAGTGTGTCGTTGCATGGTGTGCGAGCAAAAATCAGAAGCATCAATGCTGTTGAAGCTTGGCGGAATTCTGTCTCAAACGCAACTAAGGATATAATCATTCCAGGCCGACATCGTGCACAAGCATGGTGCAGATTATGTCAACGTAGCACAGACAATCCTCAATATACTTTATGAAACATGCCATCAGGTGCTGGAAAAGGCAAATCAGGCGGCAAAAAGCAATAAAAGAAATCTCAACGGGTGCTCGATTGTGACTCTAATCGATTGGTTCTCTCATGGCGTCTGTGATGCTTCAGCTTTACCCATTGATGTGCTGTATTTCGATACCCTCGGCAGATGCAAATAAGCATAACGCGCAAATGCGTTTGGACCTCGTCAGCAGAAAGCAACCATGAGAAAATGTTCAGCTCATGAAAAAGCTAAATGCTTTGAACAACTCTGCGTCACCCGTGATCTATACAGATCATGCGTCTCCAGCACAACCTTTGCAAAGAATGTCAGAATGCGCTTAATTCTCTTATCAATATACCATCCAGGTGAAACAAAAACTGGCTTGGCTTAATTTGTTTATGATTGCGTTTTGCGTTGCCTCCTTCTGCCTCTGTATTTAGATTAAAAGCACTATAGCTGTCCCATATCGCGTTGGTGACGACGCGCATTGTTGAGCAAAGACATCGTATGATGATTACCGCAGTGTCCAGCGATGAAATTGGACATTATGGGTGACGTAGTCAAGTAGCTGTTCCAGTAGACCTGATCAATTCATTGCATGCACCATGACAAAAAAATTCCGCTTTTGCGAGGAAATTGCTGCCTTCGCAAATATCACAAGTCAATTTATGTAGATGCTGTCCATTGGAGCAGCTGAAAAGAATAAAGGTCACTTTCGGTTGTAAACAGATACAGCTTTACGTCGAAGAAGATATAGCAGCAGTGCATGGTTTGAATTTGAAAATGACTCTGTGCGACACAAATGTAGGTTGGTTGCTCATACGTATCATACGCATCAATGTGAAACATCATTTTCATTGACGGATTGAGCCATATATTATTTCTTTGAGAACGTGTTGAACTTTTTCGAGATTTGTTCATAAAAGAAAGATTGTGCCCACTTTGCGCACTGGATGAGGAAGGCAGGGTGGGTCATGTGCTGCCGTCCACTAATTGTATGGACCTCGCACGCTGTGTTGCAAATCAAGATATAAACAATCTCGCTCCTACCCAGAGTGCACTGCTCTCCATACAAGGTCGCGAATGGGCTTCAGCAAAACACATGATGTATACGTAGGCGAAGATAGATAAAAATGTTGAGATCTTTGAGCATACTTTTAGCAAAGTGAAAATTTAAAATTGGTGCTTACGAGAGCGAAAATTGTCTTCCAATTTAATTTCTTAAGACTTTCTAAGTCGTGTATACCACACGCAATACGCAGAGCCAGCAGAGCTGTATCCCACCACAGTACGACATAGTGGAATGCCATGTGCATAGCAGTTTATTCAAGGCTACTGCAAATGCTAGTAGTAATATAATAGCAGGACGAACCAAATGTTTGCTTTCCATGGCTGAACCAGATTTCTCAAATCTCTTCGAATGTTACCGAATGTCTGGGCACTTGTATAGATTCCAATATCTGAGATCATGAAGCCATTAAACGTATGTTAGCAAATTTCTTTGATGTGCTTTTGCTATTCTATAGCGTGTGTATGCAGCAGATACATGAGTCAAAAGAATGTGCGATCCATTTCATTATTGTAGAGGCAGCAATCACCAATGCCAGTCAGTCATTCTTAACACTTTGTCCACTTTACCGTAGCTTCTTCTAATTTTTCTAGGCTATCTGGCTGATGCTTTTTTCTAGAAATTGTGATGGAAAGAATCGTGGGGAAGGATAAAGCAATTCTGATAATCGCGTCTAGTCTGAAAGTAATTTCAACTGTGTGTTTGCAAGAACTGCTTACAATCCAATAGATTGATATCAAATACATGCATGTGTTGCTTTTTTTCCTGCTCGAGTTAAAGTTGGTCACATACTAAGCACAGACGTTTATATTAAAAGCGCACGAAGTCAAGTATAAAGCTACAATGATTGCAAAAACTGACCTACGAGCCGGATCCAGTCTACGAGGTAGAAAGGCTCAACAACTGCGACAAGCGTCCGAGTTAGCATTCGAAATTTGTGCAGGATTTTGATAAAAAAGACAAGATTTTAGATGAGTAAAGTGCTTTGATGTGTCATGTGAAGCTATATGATAGGATAGTGCATGTGCACTATCCTTTTATTTGTCGCTTATCCACTACGGATTGATGAATCCAGCTTTCAATACCGCATGTAAAAAGGTTAAAGTGAGCCAATGAAGCCAAACTAATGAGCACAAGATCCTGTGCAGAATATACACATTGAGCCACTATTTTATGTCGTCAATATTTCATTTAATGAAACGACTGGATGTGTGGATTGATTGATATCTCGAATCCCGATTTCAAGCAGCACATCTCGCTGCTAGTTTAATTTTTCGCTGTCATAGTACTCGTTACGTCTATGAAAATATAACACATTGTGACATTTGCTATGTCATGCTCTTTATATATCCATGTAGAGCATGGTACAATGTAGATTTGCGTATCCAAGAAGCCGTAAGAACAAGGTGAGCAGTGACTTTGTAGAAATTGCGTATCCGGAAGGTTTCGAGCTTCAAATGGATAGTACACCTGCACTCTCACTTGTGCAATGCCTCACATCGAAGGAATCAGGAATCTATACAACCCGAGTGTCTGAACATATACCTCTTGATTTGAGCAATCGATTGCAGCAACTACTTCCACAGAATAGTGAAGCTAATTTGACAGGGATTCTATTCCGTTGGCCTCTAACACGTTCATTGTGCCATTTACCTCGTCCTACCAACGCTTGATAATACGATGAAGTTCTTCTGCCCCGCCACTATTGCCCTCGCTGCCACAGCTTCGATTGCTCAAGCCACTTCATTGTGTGGACCAAGTAACAACGATAACGCTTTGATTCAAATTGGATTGTTCAAAGTCTTACATAACAATTGGGAAAGTCCTGGTACTCAATGTTCGGTTGTGGATTACACTGCTGATTACAGTATCGGTTTCCACACGCGCTTGAACATTCCTGAGACTACTTCATATGAAACGGACCATTACCACTATCCTTCGTCGCATTACAAGACATTTGCTGCTACTGAGGTGCAAGTCGAGGCAAAGGTCATTGCGTCAATTTCAAGCATTTCGACTACTCTCAATCATATTTACACTTCCGATGGTTTGTTGGTCTCGAATGTCGCCATCAGTTTGTTCACTGGTTACCAGAGCATCGATGCAGCAATTATGATATGGACAGCTTTGTACGGCAATTGTGAACCGGAATCAACCACTGGCAAGCCCATTAACACTCAGATTTTGGTGATTGCGGGCGTTTCCTTCGACTTGTACGAAGGATATTTGACAGACCACAAAGTGTATTCATTCGTCCCGAAATCGTCGATGAATTACTACTCTGGTGACTTGAAGCTATTCCTCAATGTGCTTGTCGACCTTAAATTGGTATCCAACGACCATATCCTGCAGAAAGTGCAAGGTGGTACTCATGTTGTCGCCGGCATCAACGCCCAGTTGACCGTCGAGAAATTCTCCGTCCAAATCCTGTAATTGCAGGAAGACCAAGTGACTTAGGTGAATCCTTAACTAACGGATATGCTCTGTTTTGTCCTGTCTTTGAGAAATAAAAGCATTTGCGTTCATTTCAGTCCATTCTTGACCACTAGGGCATCAAAGATTCCTATTAGCGAGTAATGTGTTCACTTTCTTACTAGTAGACTTTTGGTCAGTACTACGCCTTCTGCCTTTGGACAGGCTTTTTTTGTAGTACTCAATGTCTGAAGCTAGTCGACAGGTTCACTGTGAATTCGACGAGTCTAATATAGCCACTGCTTTTGCCGCTATGCAGCTAGACCATATTTAGATTCAGATCTAAATGTACAATACCTGTGTCTTTCGCTTCGTTAAGACATAAACAAAAGGTATTGCCGTCAACGGAAAGAAGATTTCTATATGAATTAAGAGGGTGTGAGCTATAAACACCACCCGATACCTTATCCTTCTGCACGTGAAGGTAAATGAAAGATAGACTCGATTATGAGTTCGAATGTTGAGTACCTTGTTCTCGTCCTCTACGTAGCATCATCTTGCCACGGCGCTCACAAGGATGTCCAGCCCATAAAAATTGGGTTAGACCCAGCTCAGCAAACCGGGTTCTCCCGTCTGCAAGCGCAAATTACACCGATTTTCGCTGACTAATTCGAGTCGTTATACATGTGATCCATGACAAGCTGCCCGCGGCGACCTTAATCGCCTTTTCGACTTGACTTTTTGCGCAGCCGTAATGCAAAACACGCGTAAAGAAATTCTTCACTAGTTTATCGATCCTTCGGATCACATTTATTTTGATGTATGATTTGCGACAAAGCAGAAGCGGCTGGATGAATTCGTATCCTACCTGAGAACCAAACCTTTTGTACTATACCACAGTGCCAACGAGTGCGCGCGGAGATAAGTATGCACATCGCCTCACACTAATAACAGAAGAGGTAGATTCATTGAAGCAACATTGGACTAGATCGTCACATGACGCTTACCTTGCAAGAGAAAAGCTTGATGCGGAGGTCGCAGCGGAAGCTTATCACCTTTTAATCTTACTCTCAACACCCGACACGTCGTTTTGAGACAGCCGTTATAGCTACTGATCAAGGCTTTGCCTTCCAATAAGGTTAACATTCGAATGCTAGGCTGTTACAGTCGGCCGTGTCTCTTTTCCAGATGAGTTGAATACCGTGACGCACCATGTCATACGCGGCTGTTTTGCCAAAGTGAGACCTCAAACCCTTATAGAAATTTCGAATGAGTGCATCGGAGGATATCGTTCACGCAATTCACTTACTTTTTCTGACACCTGTTTGCGGATGATCAGCGAAAGAAAGTCCTATCAAATGCCTGGCATCTTATGCCAAAATGTCGTGGTTAAACGTAAATCCTGCGCATACAGGAAAGCCATGTTGGCAAACCCCTCTCTAGAGGAACCGCCCGGTTGTGCTCTAACCACTTATAGTATTTACAGCAACGACATCAGCCATCGTGCTCGAATGATCTACAAGATCACAATGCCAGTCTCATCGGACGCGTCCTTTGATAAACCAAAATGTAATATTAAATGCTAACACTTTCTTCCGGAACCGGCATGCTGTCCAAAGTTGCCGCAGCATACGACGAAGTCTTAATGCTGACACGCTTTGCAGCACTAGCACATAAAAATCTGCCAGTTTTTACATGTTGAGCCATCGAAACATATCACTCACTGCGCAGAGAGTCTCTTTCGTTCCGAGGTGATCATTAATAGAGGTACTACTTGAAGTCCTCATCATGAGACTCCACCACACGTTGAGTATCGAGTTAAGCAGAGCTGTGATATAGCAACTCTTAAGATAAGGCATAAGGGTGCAAGCGTGTAGCAGCGACATCGAAAAAGCAGCGAGCTCTTAATTTGCTGCTTTCAACGAACTCAGCAACATATGCAAATTCGCGACGACACCATTGTGACATGTGAAAATTTACGGTCGGGGCGACGCGAAAGCGATCACCTCCACTTAGAGCTGATCCGTTTGATTTTTTTCTTGTTGGTACAACAGCCGTCGTACCATTTTTGCAAAAGAGGTGGCGATAATGTCGGTGTGCACATCGACGCATGGTTTGTATATAGTTTAGACCCTAGCAGATGCATTCTGTACTTCACAAGAGCATACTTTATTGTAAGTAGCTACTTGTCGTGAGCAGAGCTGTCTTCTTCTAACGCTTTATGCTGGTGAGGCTCAAACGCAATTACGCATTCATCACGCATTCATCACGCTTGGGGAACGCACATTCTATTGCAAAGGTTGGAGTATTACTGCAGCAGGGCTGTCAAAGCTCTTTTGCTAAGAGGAAGCTAATCTAAGGTCTAGATCTTACGTTCTATACTAGAACCAATACGAGTGTAGCAGATCGCGATTCGCTTACTCCAAGAGTAACCACCACCTTAACCCAAGGCAAATAAACTCTTCCTCTCAGAATCAAATCTGTATTCATTTGTTTTATTTGAGGCAGAGCCGCCGATATCTAAATCTGTAGGTTTTCCTAATTAAATTGAAAACTAATTAAAATACATAACTAGCGGTGGTCCCGCCACGTAGAGGTGTAGCACACCATTGTGTGGTCAGACCATTTTTTGTGACCTAACTCTTCATACCAGGGTACGTGTAACCCTATTACAGCTCCAGACGACATGAAAGGGTTCATCTGGATTCAGTAGGACCGAATTCAAGGCACGCCTGAGGCTTTCCTGGGACAGGCTTAAAGGCTACCTATTCTAACACGCCTCAACACCGTTTGACACCATTTAATATAAATAAGGCAGGGACCAAGCCATATCGGCATACTTCAATCAAACTTGTACGATACAAATGCAAATAGCTGGCCAAGCCAAGTTTTTCTCGCAAGTCCCTTTGGATCAGAAACACCGGTCAATCCCACTGACTTTCACCATTGCGGGTATGTCCGCAGGCACTTAATGAAGTAATGTAGAAGGAAGATCTCGTCGTCACCAATGACACACTAGTTGGTATTGGCGGGCAGCTCAAAAGAGTATAACTTCCGAGCACCTATAGCAAGTATTCTATGTGGCTTCTCCCATCCAGCTCTCTGTGATCAGCACAGCTTAGAAAAAAAATCAAAATAGGCTTGCGCATAGGCATAATGTGGGCTAAAAAGCCGCGCCGCCACACATTTGAACATCACTGATGCGATAAAAAGCTTATGTGGCATACCCAGACACTTCCAGAATATCCCACTCGAGTACTCACCGCTATGAGAGGGATTACTCTATCTCATTAGCAGCAGATAATTTAAGTCAGAGGTACTGAATGATGTGTAATCCAACACTCCGTTCTGCAGCACAGCCTCTCCAGAATTCGGCGATTCTGTTAAAAGTGGCTGCACATGAGTATACAAAGCACACACGACTCGTCACTGACCGGATATCACGACATACTAGTTCTTTCTGCTCTCAAATCCCACTCGAATATTACTTCGTACGATCGACCTCCTCTATATCATCTTGAGACCACAAATTACTGCCACTTTCCAGAATTTGCTGCTGATACTTGAATTTGTCACATTTAAAAGATTATGTAAGCTCATGTCCTGCAGGAAGGATATCAATTGTACCTGCGCCAAAGAGCTTCTGATTTGAGTCCATGACCCCCCAAGTTTATACCGGGAAAGATGTAAGTGGCACCCATATTTACGCTTCTCAGCCGATCCATGGCGCATTATGTTCAAAGTTGCCGAACCCAGGATGAGAGAGCTGTGATCCTGGTCTGAGGCGAGATGACGCTCCACGATGCCAAAGTCATCAAATTTGAGCTCAAGATCCTACCGAGCCTTCGACTATCCCCGTCGCAGGACGCGCAGATACTGTATCCGGATTTGCATATCGAATGCCTTCGTGTGTGGTTGCTACAACGCAAAGTTGCGTATCGTGCGAAGCTGCGCGACGCATCTCAGTCAAACAGGACTTACTACAGCTTTAAAAAGTCCAGGACGTCGATGTATACAATCAGCAACTCCGGCTGTGAGTCCCACCAGCCTACGTCGCTATTTCATAATTTTGGTCCTACTAACCACAACTCCCACGAGGTACATTAGTATCCAATTCTTTCCTAGTAGGAAGCCCTACGTCTACTGCAAATTGTACGATGACTTCGTCGGACAGCCCTTGTGTGGTGGCCCGACCTTTCATACCTCTCAGACTAGCGCGAAGAAGGCACGCCAGGTGCGGATGCTCTTATACTGCTAAAGTTGTACCATTTACGAGTACCACGAAGCTTTTTTTCAAAAACCAAGAAATCTCTTCCTTCTACTTCAGCGTGGCTTGCATTCACTGCCTCTGGTGCTCACAGAGCTACCACTCCGGTACTTGAACCGGCCTTTGCGAAGTGAAAGTTTAAAATGTACAGACACCGCTTCATTTGAATAGTTAGGAGGCACTGACAGTCACTGTGCAAGCCACATCCTCTCAATAAAGACATCCTTCTATCGTCATCAGAAGACGAACACATTTCGCCGATTCCCGCTTCCATCGACGGGTGGTCAAGAACCTGAAGTGAACGCTTCCAGGGGAGAGGCCGCTTTCTTGTCCTTTGCTCGCCAATATCCTGATTTCAATAACTGATGTAACCCTACCAAGCACGTCTTGTTGTCCCGGGTAGGAAAATCAAACATTCTATAAGCCAATTTCGAAGGAGGTAAAGCTAAAGAAATGACATAAAGAGTCCGAGTGAACAAACGTCAGCGGATTGATTCGTACTATTTGCTTGAAAGCGGAATTGAGAGCCGCTTTACCAACGAACTAAGATCTCTGCTACTCAAAATTGGCATATTTTGGATCAGTTCTATACAAACTGAAAGCTAAACATATGCATTTCACAATGTCCAATTAGATAGGCATTGCTTGACGTGAGACTAGCAGCCTACATGTACCACAAACCTCTCCATTTTCGTCTTCATGTACAATTGTACAATTCCTATCCCGGTACACCCACTATCTGACTTAGATTCTACAATAGTTTCAAGGTGTCTTGCACTTGCAGAATGTGTAAAGAATGCCTTTAATGGATATTCATACAAATTCTTACGTCATGACAATACCTATGCGTCCAACTTCGAGTCCATTTATACGACCGAAATCTGAAGTTGAGCGCACGGGATCAAATTGCAGAAGTGTAACTGGTCGAGCAACTTCCGCGCAACTTTTGAACTTTAAGCGGATTGTGGTAGGATCCAATACTTATTGATGCACGTCTTTTACTGGATAGATCATACTGTGATTAGTCGCGGATGCTATAGCGAAGTCTTACGTGGTACGTACAAGGATCGTGACGTCGCAATAAAACATTCGTCACCCGATACAACACATGATTTACCTCGAATATTTCTCGCGAGTAAAGTACAAGCAACTTAAGTACAATTTACTGGAATTGCACTGACAGAAACCTGTAGGATTTGATTTTCTAAAAAAAACGAAGAGCTTTAGATTTAGCACATGCACTCACATGTTTCCATAGCTTAGATCCTTTTCTTCTTCATCGTGATCTCAAGTCAACGAATAAACTATAGGATTCAACGTGGCATGCTAAAGTCACGGATTTCGGGGTATCACGAGAATGTCGTGATTGGACGATGACTTCAGGAATTGAAACTTTATTATGGATAGCACCTGAAGTCATGATGAGTGAACGATATGATAATTTATTCCTTTGGGCTTGTCTTGAGTTAATTAGATACACACAAATTACCATCTGCTTGTGCTAAAGTCACAGATACTAGGCGTGCAGTAGAAAATGAATGTTGAGCCTGTGAAAATTAATTGAAACCTCTTGTCATTAATATTGACACGGAAGATTTCATTTCACAGGTTTCTGCTTAAAGAGAATGAATGTATTGTACGAACGTTTATAATATGCATACACATCTCCATTTAGCAACTCGGGATGGTACCTTCGAGTCCTCAAGTAGCAACGTACCAGTCCGCCACTGTACCGGTATTAATAGAAAACAATAGACATTGTACGACTAACTCAATATTTTTAAATTTTTGACTGTACGCATAGTAGTGGACGTAAAACTCTCATCCGTACATGTCCGATCACGTGTTCGTTCGAATGTATGTTTGCAAAAGTTTCTGAAGTTCAGTCAAAACTTGAGCAGCTGAAGGACGTTGAAACGCATCAAGTTTCACGCACGCTTTGCCTAATCGTACAACTGCTTGAGTCAGTTGACGATCATTTTGTACTGTACGATCTCCATGTCGACGTTTCGAACTCGCAAAGTGAACATGTACATGTCCTGCAGCCACTTTTTCAATTAATTCCAATCTATTGTCACTATTTTGTACTCGAGTGTACGCATAAGGAGGCATGAGTGAGTCCAATTCTGCAAGTAAGAGTCCAAACGCAAAAACATCTGTTTTTGCGTTCGTACATTGTCCACGTAAAACTTCCGGTGCATGATACAAAGCATCAAATCGCGTGCGTACAAGTCGTCCTGTGGGTACAGACATGACAACATCATCAATCTTTTCATTCCAAACTTGACTTCCTTGATATCCAGTAAGTTTAGCATTCAATTGATCATCTAATAACACATGACGTGATCGTACAGCTCCATGTACAAGTCCTTGTGCGTGCAAGAACGTGAGTGCATTTGCAATTTGTGATGCTATTATCACTTTTTTTCGATTAAATCCTCGTTGAGTCCATTCTTCCTGTTTTAACATCAACTTCTGTTGTTGTAAATAACATGCTAAATCACCTTGAGCCATAAATTCCATTACAATACAAACATAAGCAAGTGAACGCCATGCGACTCCAAAGAAAGTGACAAGATGTGGATGTTGAAATGATGAAGATGCAAAGATTGAAATATGTTGAAAAAATGTTTCCAAATGTTCCCGAGAACGTATCCAATGTGGAAATGGTTTCTTAATTGCACGAACTTGATTCTGATACGAGCCACGATAGATTTCACTTGTATTTCCACGGGCTATAAGTTCATCTAATAGAATTGTACTCACACTTAATCGTACACTTTGAATTTGAGGAGTCGACCAAATTTCAAACTTTTCTTTATCTTCAAAACATGATAAACGTGAACCAAAAGAAATGGACGATGAAACAAATGATGTTTTCTCTGGTGCGTACAATACCGACGATGGTGGAACCGGTACTGTTACTTGTTCGGACGGTATCACCGGTATTGATCGTTGTTTACGTCGTTGAAGATTATAGAATAGAAGACACAAGACAAGAAGAAAGATGACTCCACCACCAATAGCAAGACCAAGTTCATCATCATGAAGAGACGATGTTTGAATATACGATGGATTTTCATCGCTTCGATTTGGTTTTATTGTTGTAGTATCATTACTGAAGGTTATCATACCGGTATTCACGTCGGCTTGACACATAATGAACAAGGTACTTCGAAGCTTCACCGTTGGATACCACGTGCCGGTTCGTGAATGCTTGCGACGTCGCTACATTCTACGTCTTAATGGTATAATGAAGTCGTTTTGCTTTGGCCATCGACGGTTATTTCAAGTTAAGTTTACCTCTCAGGGTACATCATTTGTAAAAAGTTACGTCCGTTTTGGGCTACAGTAACTTGCACAAAAGAACGCATTCGATTATCTCGATGTCTGAAGTAAGACGACAGGACTAAAGTATCGTTACACCTTTTGCAAAGTAAAGTTGCTGTTATAATGTCATTTTTCCAAACTTTTTTCTAATGTAAGCGGAATTTTCGATCGTAACATGTAAGTAATTTCCATAGCTACTGGACGTTTTGAGGGATCAAAATCTAAACATTGTGTTGCTAATTCACGTAATGCACGTGGACAATCAGGTCGAAAGGGTGGAGATGCACGTCCAGTAGCAATAAGTGGTACCCAATTCACTTGAATCTTTCGCTTGTGCTTTTGTTTCTGACCATAGACATATGGTAGTAAACACGTATCTAATTCAGCTAATACAACACCAAAGGAATAAATATCTGCCTTTTCGGAAGATTCTTCACCACGTAAAATCTCTGGAGCTGTCCAAAGATGAGTATGAATTTGATTTTGTCTTGTCTTGTTAGAAGGAATCTCGCGACAAAGTCCAAAATCACTTAATTTTGCTTGAAACTCTTGTGTCAATAAGACATTAAAAGATTTTAAATCACGATGAACAATAGGAGGCGATAGGGAATGCAAGTAAACAAGCGCATTGGAAATATCTGCTGCAATAGGAAGTTTGTCTTCTTTCCATGTAAGATATTTACTTGATGGTTGAGCTAAAAAATGCGCCAAATCACCTAAAGGAAGATATTCCGAGACCATACATAGATCTGGTAATGTACGCCATGATAAACCAATAAAGTGAACAATATTTGGATGATCGAGACATGCAGCCATTCGAATTTCTTTAGTAAAATCCACTAACATTGCAATCAAATTGTCATTTAAAAGTGTAGAAGCATTTCGATCATACAAACTCCAATTTGTGCTTGAAGTACTCGAATTTGCAGCACTTGTACATTTAATCG